CAAATGTAAGTATGCTCATACTGAAATATGTTCATATATGTATATTCGAGATGTAAAATAATTTAGATTTTCGCTTAAGTTCATCAATGTGCTGTAAAATTCTTGAATAAATAAACCGGATTAGTTCCGAGCATTGAAGCGTAAACTATTGCTCTAAAATTCTCAACATCCGAAAATATTTTGGTGCAGAGATTTGACACGTGTGAGGACTGGTGCGATATTATAACCTCTGCGACTATCGTGACGTAAAGATTCCTTTTAAAGAATTTAGTATATTCTTCTCTGGATATCGTCGATCTTCTAAAGATGTTTTCGCCGACACGCGCAAACAATACCGAAAGCAAATCGAATGAGCTAACCTTAACTGCGAGTGTTGGCGCGACAACGTGTACGCTACCCAGCTCAAATGTTCCAGACCTTTCGCCGCATGGTTTCTCGCAAAGTGCTACATCTATAGATGGGTACGCACAGGCAGGGGAACGTGCGCGTGTAAGTAACGTGACTGCAACAATAGATCTGGGTGCTAAAGGCTCGCAATGTGCTACATCTATAGATGGGAACGCACCGGCGAGCTGCGCTACTGAGGGTAGTTATGCGGCACCTACGACAATCAGGCAGAGCAATCCTTCATTCGATTCTGTACTAAATTAGCAAGCGCTAAGGCAAGTATTTACACCACCTAATATGGTAAGAGCAGATATTTTCTCGCCAGACAATCCATTTGATACCGAAGCTCCGCATGGAGCTGTTTCGAGTCCACCTGTTGCGTGGCCCGCAAACTCAACGGTTCCTATTAGTATGCCTCCGCGTTCAGGGTATATATCTACATCAACACAGCCATTTCATTTCTATATACCTAGTAGTCAGTTTGCTCCTCTAAGCACTATAACGCAACGAACGCACGTCTTAGGCACAAGTCACCCCTTCCATTCCACCACTCTTCATTATGACGACGGCTTAGCAGGTGCCGGGTTCAGCGCACCACAAACCACGCCATATCAAACCGTACAAACTACAAAACAAGCATCGCACTCAACCACAGTTCCCGCTAATCAACAATTTCGTTTTTATAATGCGAACTCAATTCCAATAACTGCGCCTGTTCCGACAGTTTCTTCGACGGGCATATTCACCGCTTCGATTCCATCGCATGTACCTGGTGGTTTCTACAGTAGGCAACAAGGCGCGAATGGGTATGCTTCGCTTTCTCAGGGCCCAATGGTCGATTGCACATTGTCCACAATGCAGATAGCATCCAGGCAGGTTGTAAATAAAGAGTTACCGGCATTTTCTGGCAAACCAGAAGAATGGCCTTTATTCATTGTTAATTATGAGCAATCGACTGAGCAGTGCGGATTTTCAGAAGCGGAGAATCTTATCCGCCTTCAACGCTGTCTGAAAGGTGCTGCTTTAGAAGCAGTTAAAGGCAAACTAATGACACCTTCAACCGTAACACAAGCCATCGAAACTCTTCGCATGTTATACGGCAGACCTGCCGTCATACACCAAGCATTACAACGAAAGTTAAGGAAAGAGCCGGCAGTTCGGCACGACAACTTAGAAACTCTTATACAGTTTGCTCTTGCGGTCCAGAACTACCGTTCGACTATGCATGTTATTGGACTTTCGGCGTACTTAAACGACCCAATGCTTCTGTCCGATTTATTAAGTAAGCTGCCAAGCGACTTAAAACTCGAATGGGGTAGGCAGGTAGTAAATATGACAGAAACTGATTTAGGTAAATTTGACGACTGGCTCTTTAAATTAGCGACGTGTGGTAGTCAGGTAGTCTCTGTGAGCGCAACAACAACTGTAAGCGAGATAAAAGGAAAACACTCGAAGTCCAGACTTCTAGTGCATGACGTAGTTGAAAATAATAGCAATAAAGTGAAGGGCCATCCACAACAACAATGCCTTTATTGTCAAGAAGATCATAATTTGCAAAAATGTAAGAAGTGTACTGTACTGTGTATTAGATGTTTTAAAAAGCACTTTTTGAAAAATTGTCGTTCTCAAAGCCGTTGTGATATCAATGGTTGTACAAAACCACATAACGCTTTGCTTCACGCAGATGATGTAAAGGCGCTTAATGATACTGCTGTTATGCTACATACTAAAAGAGAATCAAATAAAATAATGTTTCGTTATGTTCCGGTCACGTTATATGGAAAGACACATTCAATAGAAACGTATGCGCTAGTCGACGAAGGGTCAGCATGTACTTTACTGGAAAGTGACATCGCGTCGAGTTTAGGCCTGCAAGGACCGTCCCGAGAGCTCTGCTTAAGATGGACTGGAGATATCACACAATCCGATCCAACTTCAAAACTGGTAAGTGTTGACATCTCATCAAGCGACAATTCGTCGCGATACACCTTGCGTAATGTTCGCACAGTGGCAAACCGCGACCTTCCCATGCAAACACTATCTGAATCGGTATTGAATTCTCGTAAACAGTTAAACAAATTGCCGATAAAGCCTTATGAGTCTGTGCGTGCTACTATTCTGATCGGCATATATAACGCGAAACTGGGCGTACCTTTGGAAGTGAGAGAAACTAAAGGCGATCATCTCATTGCCGCTAAATGTAGATTAGGTTGGGCGGTGTATGGCCGCGTCAGCGCTGTTTGTGAGACTTCCAACAGAGTTTTACATATTTGTCCGTGCACTGCCACAGAACGCCTGGATGACATTATTAAAGCTAACTACGCTTTAGAAGCGGTAGGTGTATGTAAAACCGACGACCCCCTAAAATCCAAAGCAGATGAGCGCGCGTATGCTATTATGAGATCCACAACTAGATACCTGCCTCTTGAAAAGAGATACGAGACAGGACTGTTGTGGAAGTTTGACAAGATAGTCACGCCCAACTCTCTGCCTATGGCAATGCGGCGTTTGAATTGCCTTGAAGAAAAAATGATACGGGATCCTAAGCTGATGGATTTTTTAAGCAATAAAATTAGCAGCTACGAAGAAAAAGGTTATATCCGTAAGCTGAAGAAAGGCGAATCTATCGTATCAGAAAAGACCTGGTTCTTACCCATCTTCACAGGTGCGAACAAAAACAAGAACAAAACTCGGATCGTATGGGATGCCGCCGCTGCGGTTGAGAACGTTTCGTTAAATAGTTATTTGATGTCAGGCCCAGATCTTTTAACGTCCCTAATCGGCACACTGATGCGATTTCGCGAACGGCGCGTGGCTATCGCAGGGGACATCCGTGAAATGTTCCATCAAATTCGTATAAGAGATGAGGACCAAGCGTCTCAATTATTTTTATGGCGGAACGGAAATCGGTCGAGGCAACCTGATGTGTATGCAATGATGGTAATGACTTTCGGAGCCGCCTGCTCACCGTCTTTGGCAAACTATGTGAAAAACGAAAACGCATCGCGTTTCAGCAATATATACGCGCATGCAGTCAACACGATTCATAAAAATACCTATGTTGACGATTGGTTGCACAGTGCTGACGACGAAGAGGAGTTGATCGAATTGGCATCACAAGTTAAGTATATACATGGAGAGGGCGGCTTCGAAATGCACAATTGGCTCTCTAACTCAGAAAGAGTGCAGCAAGCGATTTCAGGTTCGAAAACACAAGCAGAGAAGTGCCTTGAGGAATCAGGTACCTTGGTTGAAAAGCTTTTGGGAATGTGGTGGCTTCCACAAACGGATGAACTGACTTTCGTGGAGAGGTTTGACAAGTCGGTCTTCGAGGAAAGTGCTGTCTACACAAAGCGTATTATTCTGCGCATCATCATGACGATTTATGATCCCCTGGGATTATTGGGGTTTTATTGAATCCGGGCAAAAATCATAATGCAAAACGTTTGGCGTAGCGGCGTGAATTGGGATGATGCGATTGGCGCTAAAGAACGGGAGGAGTGGCAATCATGGGTGCGATTACTGCCTGAAATAGGAAATATTCGTGTACCGCGATGCTACTTGAATGCCAGCACTAGTCACAATATTCAGCTGCACGTTTTCTGCGACGCAAGTGAAGCTGCTTACGCTGCGGTCGCCTATCTAAGAGCAGACCTTAAGGGCGAGGTCAGCTGTACGTTGGTAGCATCTAAAACTCGCGTGGCTCCACTCAAGCCGGTTTCCATACCTCGTCTGGAGCTAATGGGTGCTATAATTGGTCTTCACCTTTCAAAACTCATCAAGCAGGAAGTGACGTTGCCGGTGACCAAAACCATATTTTGGACGGATTCCAAAAATGTCCTCCATTGGATTCGGTCAGACGCTCGAAGATATAATCAATTTGTGGCTCTCCGGGTAGGTGAGATTTTGGAATCGTCGAACCCCTTTGACTGGCGTTGGGTGCCATCAGCTGAAAACGTAGCCGATGAAGGCACAAAGTGTAATCAATACGAACGGATGGATGGTGATTCGAGATGGTTTCGTGCCCCCGAATTTTTAGTTTTACCACCGAAAATGTGGCCTGAAACGCACTTACCCGGCAGCACAGCTCTTGAAGTACTACACCATATTCAAATCGAGCCGACGTCAAACTTACCATTATCGACGATTATGCCAAAAGCCGAGCGATTTAGTAAATGGGAAAAATTTCGCGCTGCTCAAAGAAATGTTCTGCATTTCCTCCAAAGATTGATGCGGAAGCCAGCACAATCGAAGCATCTACAGTTAGCCCTTTCGTGTCCCACAATCGAAGGCGCTGAGAACCTGATCATTCTAAACTGCCAACTCGAAGCCTTTGGCGAAGAAATCAACTGCTTACAACGAGGATTATGCGTGAGTCGAAAAAGTCTAATTTTTAAATGCTCTCCTTATCTAGATAATGCCGGAATCCTCCGGGTTAAAGGAAGAATCGACGCAGCAGAAGGCATTCAATTTGATGCGAAAAGGCCAATTATTCTGCCAAGCAAGAGTCCTGTTACTTCACTCATCGTTGATTTCTACCATCGTAAGTACCACCACTTACATAACGAAATCGTTGTGAACGAGATTCGCCAGAAATACTGGATAAACGCTTTAAGGGCGTTGGTATCGTCAACTGGCAGGCGCTGCTGCAAGTGCATTATACGCAAGGTACAACCGCAAGCACCGGAGATGGGGTCTTTACCGCCAGAACGTCTTGCGTTGAACACACGTCCCTTCACATATACGGGCGTAGATTATTTCGGCCCTATTGATGTGCTGGTAGGCAGACGAGGTGAAAAACGGTGGGGCGTGCTCTTCACGTGTCTCACCGTCAGAGCCGTGCATATTGAGATTAGCCATTCGCTCTCAACTGATGCCTTTCTTCTTGTTTTCAAACAATTCACAAGCCAACGTGGCGTGCCGCGGCGTGTGCTATCAGACAATACTACGAACTTTCGCGGAGCGAGCAGAATCCTTCTGATGGAGATGGAAAGGCTCTCTTCAGACGACATCGAGCAACGTTACCCGGAAATCGAATGGTGCTTTATACCCCCTAACGCACCGCATATGGGTGGAGCATGGGAGAGAATGATTCGTTCCGTAAAGTCTATCCTCTTCGAAATTCTACGCGAAGAGGCTGTTCAAGAATATGTTCTAAGGGCTGTACTAGCTGACGTGGAGTGTATACTAAATTCCAGGCCGCTCACTTATGTGCCTTTGGAGACGCCAAATGACTGGCAGTTCGAGCGGTCTGCGTGAACGTGGTACTGAAGATGATAGTGGCATAGCACTACGAAGGAATTTTAGAAATTCATCGCAAATAGCAGATCGATTTTGGAAGCGCTTTATACGAGAATATTTGCCCTGCCTGACACGGCGCAGTAAATGGTACGAGAATCCCCCAGATCCGATTGTTGTAGGCGACATTGTCATAGTCGTAGATGACAAAAGCAAACGCAATACCTGGCTAAAAGGCGTGGTTATGGAAGTGCACCGTGCGAACGACGGCCAATCTCGTAGTGCCGTTGTTAAAACCGCCTCGGCCTGTGGTCAAACTGGCGAAGCTGGATCTAGTTCAGTAAATTTTCAGACGGCGCTTCAAATTTACGAGAGGGGGAATGTTACGGGGACAGCCAATTAACTCGTCGCAGCTCGTTAAATTATTGAGCTTAAGTCCAACTACTAATAGCCGCAACCCTGCTGGTTAAATACCAACACATCCAATTCTCTACTGCGTAATAACTGCAACCCTGCTGGCTAAAC